CCCCAAAACCCCAAAACCCCAAAACCCCAAAACCCCAAAACCCCATAGCAATGTAGAGAAGTTGAGTTTTACATTAATACTAGTCTTTGTAGACATCCTTGACAATAATTCCACTTTCTATAGTGACTATTCTTTTGCATTTAGCAAGAGTACTTAGACGATGAGCAATCACTATCGAAGTTCTTTGAGTCATAATCTGGTCGAGGGATTCCTGAACCTCTTTCTGACAACTTTCATCTAGAGCAGAGGTTGCTTCGTCAAGAATCAAGAACTTTGGATTACTGATAATAGAACGAGCAATAGCAACTCTCTGTTTCTGACCTCCTGAAAGTTTGGAACCTTTAGACCCACAGATAAATCTATATCCTTCATCCAGAGTGTCATATCTGGGATCATCGGAAACTTCGTCAAAGGAATCTTTATCATCTGGTTGACCCCCAAAATCTTTCTTTCTAACGAATTCATCTCAGTTAGCATTTCTTGCAGCTTCAATAATTTCATCTCAAGTAGCATGAGGCTTTCCAAAGCAGATATTTTCCATAATAGAGGTATTAAACAAAATTGGTTCTTGCTGAACATATCCGAAGTGAGCTCTGACAGAGGATAAAGTGAACTCACCTAGTTTTCTCCCTCCAATGGTGATATATCCAGATTGGGGTTCATAAAATCTGAAAAGTAGAGCTGCAATTGTGCTCTTTCCACATCCAGATTCTCCGACAAAGCCAATACTTTCTCCTTCGTTGATCTTGAGGTTGAAGTCTTGTAAGACCCAGTTGTCAGTCTGAGCGCTCGGGTATCTGAAATAAACATGATGGAACTCGATAGCTCCGGAGACTCCTTCAGATCCTAAGTCAGCATCACCATTCTTAATAGGGCAACCAGGCTCTCCTTCCTTAGCATACTTGCTGAGTCCAAATATCTTTCTGACAGCTTGAATACTCTTTCCAAAATCTGGAGGATTGCTCATCAGATACGATACTGTCAAAAAAGAATACCAGAATCCCAAAGTACATCTTAATTGATCTTCTGGGTCTTTTCCGGACTTAATATTATGTGCAGATACAAAACCAACAAGCGAAAATGATAAAATGAAGAATGAAGATCCGAACCCATACAATAAGCCAGGACCTATAGCTTCATAAAGACTATCTTTGTCTACTTTATAGCTCGATTCTTCAGAATTATTTTCATTGAAGTATCTAGCGATGATAGTTTTCTCATTTGCAAGAGACAAAACAGTATTATAGTTCAAGATATAATCAGACACCATCTTTTCTTGCCTACTTACAGACTCTTTATAACCACTTTGAGCGCTAGATTGCAGAGCGAAGGTTGCACCCATTGATAACCATGAGACTGGAACAATTAATCAGAACAGTAGTCCTATATTCCATTCAAAGATGAAACCGAAGATGATTCCACCAATCATACTAGCCATCGACTGGAAAATGAATAAGTACAACTCAACAGCAGCTCCATTTAATTCTCTTGTACTTGAAGAAAGAATGGCAGTTAGGTTACCAGTGTTATGGTCCCTATGATCAAAGAACTCAATAGGCTGATGTAAGATCTGGTCATAGACAAATTTCCTTACTCCTTGAAGCAGATTGGTGTTTACTATATGCAACATTGCTCTTGTGAAAAATTGAAGAATTGCAGCTATTACACCCATTCCAAAGATGATTGGAAGATAGATCGCCATGTCATTCTTTAGCTCAGTACCAGTACTATCATCTTGTAAAGCAGTATAAAAGAACTTTGAAAAGGGATATGGCATTACTACCAAGGTCAAAGCCACAAGAGTAGCCCCGATTAGCATTAAAGCTATGTATCCTTTTGGAGAAGCATAAGAATAAACTTGCTTCAAATATGTTAATGTTCCTTCAGAATCTTCTGAGCCATCATTCTGAACATTTTGTCTCTGTAAGTTTCTTTGAGGTTCAAGTAAAGGATCTTTCTCGGATACTGTATCTTCACCCGCATAGGCATCGTCTCTATGGTTACTTTCTGGAGCCTTTTTCTTTTCTTCGTGAGTTAGGACATCTTTCGTTCTGTTGGCTTTTTCCTGTACATTGGTCATTTCAGCATATATTCCATTAACTCTCATAAGTTCATTATGATCTCCTTGTTCAACAATTTCTCCATCTTCAAGGACAATGATAGTTTCTGAATTCTTTACAGTTGTGAGTCTATGAGCAATTACAACTTTAGTGATAGAGTCTCCTTCAATAGATTCGATTGCTTCCTGCACTTTCTTCTCACTTTCATTATCGAGGGCACTTGTTGCTTCATCAAAAATTAGAAGCTGGGGATTTCTCACTAATGCTCTAGCGATTGCTATTCTCTGCTTTTGACCTCCTGATAGTTTACTTCCAATAGCTCCAACATTATGGTCAATACCATCATCAAGTTTTTCAATAAAGTCCCATGCATGAGCTCTTTTAAGGGCAGTGATGATGTCTTCTTCAGTTGCTTCTGGATATGAATTCTGGAGATTTTCTCTAATACTTTCGTTGAAAAGACAAGGCTCTTGACCAACATATCCAATTAGATTTCTATACTTTCTCAAATTGATTGATTTGAGGTTTTGGCCGTCAACTAGGACTTCACCTTCAATTGGATCATAGAATCTTTCTAAAAGTTTCGCAATTGTAGATTTTCCTGATCCAGATTTACCAATAATGGCAACTGTTTCACCCTTTCTGATGTTAATTGTAACTCCTTTGAGTACTTTATTAGCAGCTTTTGGGTACTTGAATGAAACATTGTTCAGCTGAATGCTGTCAGATATCTCATTAATATCAGCACCATTTTCATCATCTAAGGAAATCTCTGGAACTCTTTCTATCAACTCTATGATTGGGTGGGCTGCTTCTCTTGCCTTATTGAAAAGGAACATAACTCTGATAGAATTGGTGAAGAAGTAGTTTCCACACAAAAAGCTAATGCAAGAGAATATATCTCCTCCAGTATATGATTCATCTGGGAATGAATTATGAACCTAAAAGTTAGCAAAGTGGACACCTTACTCCTTCTGAAACAAAGAAACCTCCAATTACGAATGCATATCAAGTGAAATGATAAGCTATTGTCTCAAGCAAGCCAAATGCAGCTCCATAGTTCCAAGCTTTACCTAATACTTCACGATTGTTCTTTTCTAAGTGGCGAAGAAAGTGATCAGAACAGTTCTTTTCTTGTCTAAAGGCTTTGATAACTTTAATAGAATTAAAAGATTCTTCTGCCTGGACACCTCCCTTATCAAAGGTAGATTCGACAAGAGCTTGTACTGAATTTAGGGTCTCTTCCACAAAATTAAATATTATCGTGGCATATACAACAAGTGCGAAGAGACAGAACAAGAAGATCCATGCAATAGCGAAAGTGATGCCTATTCCGCAAAGGTATGCACCAAAACCATAAATGATAAATCCTATTGATCTTCCAAATCCACATTCAATTTCTTTCATTCTCTTATGAAAGTCAGATGGGATGCCTTCAATGTTCTGGTCATCAAACCATGTGTTATCTTGTCTAAGGAGAGCTTGTAGATATCTCCATCTAAAGTATGAACTGGGGGGTTTTACCTTAATTCAAAATTAATCTTCTTCCCTATCAGAGTAAAGCATGCGTATTGAGTGAAGTTAGCAAAGAATGATGCCCCAGCAACTCCCATGAAGAACCAAGAGTTGTCAATCATTTTATCTATTAGACTTGTTAGAACATAAATAGAAGGAGATGTTAGAGTTAGAGTCTAGCTTACCATGAATGTAGTCTACATCGCCTCCGCCCATTCTGTCTAAAATTCTCTGGATGATATACGAGCAGAGTGGGAAGTTGAATCCTATATTCAAGTTAGTTTAAGTCAACAGTAGAAAAGAAGGAATGCTCAAGCAGACACAAATGGCTCATGTAATACTTTACTAGATGGTTCTCTCAAAGAAGGATGTAAAGTATTGGTCCTTTGGTTAAGACCAGCCTGGTAAAGAACTCTATTCGACAAAATATTTTGGTGCTTAGAGCTTGTAGATGGTGTAATCGTATCTTTAAATCAATCCTAGCCTTCAGATTGGAGGATCACTTTTAGTAAGAAGGTCTATTTGGGGGAAGGAATTCAAGGGAATAAGTCACAACACTAGGCTAATGGAATTAACCAAAAGAGACTTAACAGGTGTTGTTTTTAAGGTGTTCTAGTCAGGATGTACTTAAAAATATTAACTCAGATAGAGGTGCTAAGTGCTGGAAGAGAATCAATTTAATCATGCTAGCTAAAGGATTAAAGAACACATTTGAATCTTTAGATGGCTACATTTTCAGGTAAAAGCATGGTTCTACAGACTTAAGGATATGAAAACTGCATGAAAAATAACTAAGGAAATGTGGAGGCCTTTCGTTAAGTAAATCCCAACAAATTCAAGAATATATCCGATAGTTAAGAAGAAGTTGCAATCTAGATCTTTTGCCAAATGATGCTCAAGCAAGTTGGCTTCCTGTTTATGAAGACTCAAAGGAGTACACATAACCCTTGAGGGATAAAATGCTCATACTATTAATCGATATTTAGATCACTATTCATTGTGAACATACTCTTAAATACAGCTTAAAGTGTCAATAAAGTTCTCTCTCCTTGCTGGCGAACCAACTAGTTAAGCAATATGCTCGGAACTAGGCTTAGGGCATGTTTTCATTGATTTGGATCAAACAAGAAGTAATTACATCAGTCAGAAATGTTCAAATTTATTTGGAGAGTTAAAACTATCTTAGCATATTTAGCAGAATTTGCCTTACCTCCGAAAAATGCTGAACATCATCCAATGAAGAACAATGCTTTATAAGGGCCAGTCAGGTATTTATAGAGGTCCCCGAAATCTGCTTTTGGTATGGGCTCATTACTCTTTGGAGCATCTTCATGATGAGATATCGACGACATCTCATCATTTTGTTTGGTGTCTTCCATTTTAATAAAGTTATTATTAAATTATATAAAGACCCAGTTACTGAGTAGTTTATAGGGGTTTTGGGGTTTTGGGGTTTTGGGGTTTTGGGGTTTTGGGGTTTTGGGG